CCCAGTGTGCCAAGGAAAGTCAGAATTAGAATGTGATGTGAGTCTACAGTATTTTAGGAACTAGGTTTTTGCTTTGTTTGTTGTTTCTTTTTTTTTGGTGGGGGGAAGGGAGAGGTTTCTGATACAGGGTTTCTCTGAGTAACAGCCCTGGCTGTCCTGGAACTCTCTTTGTAGACCAGGCAAATCTCGAACTCACAGAGATCCACCTGCCTGTCCTTCTCGGGTGCTGGGATTAAAGGTGTGGACTTTCTTGAATGGAATTCGTATTGGTTATCAATTGACATATACTGTTAATATCAGCTTGATTCTTGTAAACTTAGCATCTACACATTTAGATGTTTGGTTCATTTGTACATTTAGGCAAATAATTAGGGAAACAATTTTGATGATCATAATTTTATAATTTTTCCCCAACAACTTTTAAAAGGAGCTGTGGCCAGTAATCTAAGACATCTAGTCAGTAATATATTAACTTCTTATGTTGGTATAGTTTTTACCATTAATTCAAGTACATGAAGTGCTCTGTGACATTGACATTGTTAATAAATTTTCATATTAAACATTGATAAGAAAGATGCTAGTAATATTGTCATTTTATAAATGTAAAATCATTCACTGTATTTGTAGGCTTCCTATAATTTAACAGCAAACTGTGATTTAAAATTTCTTTGGAAATACCATTATCAGTAAAATTTGAGATATGAAAGCAATACATTTCTAAGTCGCAATGGGATTATTGTTAATAGTGGTAGCTTTGTCAGAGTGTGGTCAAATTCCTGCCTTGGTCCATGGAGTCAAAGTCTCAATGGGTTTTCTTTTAAAATGAGAAAATTTAAGACTTCACTATCTTAGCATGTTTTTTTATCTTGAAGTCTACTGTCCAACAAACTTAGAATGTTTAATATGATATGGGCTTAAAGACAGAAAACCTTTAAAAGAACTGGAACAGAAGAACACCAAGTACATGTGTCCTACCATGAGGCTTCGGGAGGATTGGGAGACTACTTGTACCAAGGCTTCATTTAGTTAGATGACCACTGATCTGAGAGCAGAGAACAAATTTGAGCTATCCCTGCCCCATGTAGTAAAGGAAGGCATATGAGAGCTATTTTTGGAGTAGTTATGCATCTACTGTCTTATGTAAAGTTCTTGTGTTCCATAACAATTTGAGTACCGTTTTCCTTGACATCATTCTTTTTCTGAGTTTGTTCAGAGCCCATGGGTTACCTTTCATGCACCTGCCCTTGCATCAGAGAGGCTGAATGTTGATCATATTATAAGTTTCCAGAACCGTGGTAATATATTGACTTGTCTCTGAGAGCTAGTGAGGGAGCTGATTCTCATTCATACTGAAAATGCTGGGGTAGAGGAAATATAAGCACTGAAAAACCATTTCATAGTTTGGCTTCGACCTTACTCTGTCTCTGAACCCAGAGATCATCTTTGTCTGGATGATTTCTCTGTAACTTTGATGATGCTTTGAACAGGCCCCTCATAGGTAATTATTTCACAGCTCTTGTCTTTTTTCCCTGTGGCATGTACACTTAACCAGTGTGTTCTTCTTACTCCCATAGCCTTACATTTCACCACCCTTTTCTCCTTTTGCATACCCCCAACCCTTTTCAGTACTGGAACCAGGATCATCATCTTCTCAGATCCTAGATTTAAGGTAATCCATCTGCAGAAATTCAATTCCCCAAATTTTCAGTTTTCCTGTCCAGGCTATCAAACTGTAAACATGAATCTGTAGTGCATACGGGTCTGCCCAACAACCTGAGAAGCACAATGACCTTCTTTCTGGTTTATCTTTATTTAAAAGTTGGCATTAAAAACTTATTTTACCATAGTAGTAGATACATTGCGGAACAGCATTCTTAACCCAAGTGGAATTTGAAGTTTTAAAGAAACTATGCATGTAGGTTACCTACCAGGGCTATGAAATGCAAAAACCAGGTAGGTGGGGGGCAAGTAACTTCACTCTGTTTTTAACACTGGGGTGATTTCATGGGAACCCTTGAGAACTTGAGGGGGCAACTCTGAGGCAATGCAGAATTTTGATATTAATTCATATGTTCCTTACCCATGAATCTCAATCATATTTTTCCCACTTTTAAAGTTGTAATGAGAGTTTTGTAAGCATTGTCCTGGAGTTGGGGATGCTAGGTGTACACAGAGAGAATTTGGATCATTACATTCTTAAATACACCTTGTGGAACTATTAGAAGATACTCTAGTCTTTGAACCTATTCATTATAATAGCTGTGTGTTTGTAAGAATGTGGAAAAAAAACCGAAAGTTCTGAATTGTGGAAGTTTGACAGTAGAGGTCCAGTTTCAAGCTTTAAGGACACAGCACACAGGTAGCACAGAGAATGGTTCATGAAGGCACAGTTGTCTGGTGTCTGCTTTCCAAGGATTATAGTTAACCAAGGGATGAGAGAAGCTGGTCCTAGGTTTTGGGAGTAATAGGGAAGGAGCCCTTACCTTTCACTCCCCACCATGCTTGAGTCAAATATCCATGGCCTCTAAAGGGCACTTTGGGGCAAACAGAACTTCCCTTGCCCCAGAAAGGACACAAAAGCTACTGACAAGTATAGAGAGAAGGACACAGAATGACCTACTTCAGCCCCGTAACTAGAAGCAAAGAAATTTTTTGCAGTGGGAATGAGTTTCATGCAGACCTAGTATACACGCGTCAGCAACTCTCTTTACTTGAAAGTGGTGGGGATGTGGAATCAGTGTCAGATGCCAGTATAGCTGCTTCCTCATTCCTCTCGCTTCTCCCTGGCTTCTAGCGCTGAATGAGATGATAATCTTGTAGTGATTGTCTCATGAGGAGGACTTGTTTTGTTTTTTACTGTTTTTCTTTAAGCTTTTCAAAGATGAGGTAGGGCCATACAAATAAATTTCCCAAAGCCTTTTCCTCCTCAACAGAATGGCTGGCGCTACCATGGACCTAGAAGTAGAGTTTTAATTGCTCACAATGCTTATTCATGGTGTCTTCAATTTTGAAGCACCAGCTCACATCCACTGTAGTGGATATGCATTTTCTTAAGATATAAACTAACTTGTTAAAAAGCTGTGTTTTTTTTAAAAATATGATTCCATTAAAAACAGAAACAAAAACAAAAAACTCCCACAAAACAGAACTCAGCTATACTCACTATTGGTACTTGTCAGATCTAGGAGACCCACTTTTGGCTGGAAAGGCTTTCTTTTGGTTAAAGGATCTGCTAACTCAAGGCCTCTCTTTTTATCCCCCTGCCCCGCCCTCCAACTTTTCTTTCTGAAGGCCATCTGCAGTTAGGAGTCCCGGGGCGTGGGAGGCACTCACTGGTGTGCCATCTGTCAGTTCATGGACATCAATCCATCTCTGCTAATTCACCTGAGATGCCCATGGTTTCAATGGTCTCTCAAGGGTCCGTGTGTTATGTGTCTTTTCACTTAACTCCAAGTTAACCACCCACTATGATTCTCTAATCCCTTCCACTAGCCTTTTGTTTTTCTGAGAGAATGCATTTTTTTTTTGTATTGTTTTGGTGTGAGAAAGACTTTTTGAAGGTCTCCATAGGCTCATTACCTACATACTGTTTTCCTGCCATTCTAGACGCAGACGGAAGATTTCTCTATAAATCTCACTACTTCCTGGGCTATCCCTAGTTAAGCTGATGAAGGTATTTCTTTTCACCATTCCCTTAGACCTCTTTTGAGATGGCCATTTTTTTTTTTGTACTGTCCTGATTTGGGAGTGAACTCTGGAATGGTCTTTAGAAATTCAAGTAGAGAGGAGGAGAGGGAGGGGAGGCTGTGGTTGGTATGTAAAATAGAAAAAAAAAGTTTAAATAAAATAAAAAAATAAATTCAAGTAGAAATTTAAGCATTTGGAGTTTCCCATTAGTGCTCTCTTTTCCCTAGTGGTGAAAATTGGGTACGGAAAGCAAAATAAGCTAGGAAACAGCATTGTTTATATTCCTCCAGTCTCTGGGTTTGAATTCCTGCTCCTTAAAAACTATTTGAATTGGGACAGTTGATTTATTAAATGAAACATCTGGATCCTGAAGTTAAAAGCCATGTCTTCCAAGAGCTCTGCTGTGTCACAAATTTGAAAAGTCAACTTGGTACTCAAATGGCGAAAGTTTGACTCCTCTCTAACTTGATAAAGCAAGTATGGGGAGGGTAAGATAATGGGAAGCACATGCATTCTACCCCCTTCGACTGTCTTTCCCAGCATTCTCAGACAGCTTCTGCTTTCAGACTTGGGTCTTACCATGTATCCAGTCCTGTTTATTTCTCCTTTCCCAATTTGTGCGCAATCAATTCTACGTTTCCAAGAACATTTTATGTGCATGTCTCCTTGTTGCTCTGTGTGTGTGTGTGTGTGTGTGTTGATTTAATCTGTAGTTTCATCCCAGTTTAGAATGATCCCACTTCTGCAATAATCACTGTTTAGAACAATTTGCATATGATTGACTATGTGGGCATCCCCTCACCCCTTGATGCTGTGTTGGTTGATTGGATTATTTTCTCTATCCACAGGCGGCCTTTCTTTCAAGTACTGGCAGGGCAATGCAATCCTGCTTACCATTCATTGAATTTGCCCTTTCATTAATGAAGTTCAGGTTTGGCAAGGTGTTAATACATGCAGTTGTGCAACTGCGGTATTGACTTGCTATTCCCAGAATGCTCTAATAATTGTAAATAGAAATTCTTTGAAATTTTAAGAAAGGATCTTTTTCTCCATATTACCAGTTTCTTTTCTCTTCTTTCTTTCTTTCTTTCTTTCTTTCTTTCTTTCTTTCTTTCTTTCTTTCTTTCTTTCTTTCTTTCTTTCTTTCTTTCTTTCTTTTCTCTCTCTCTCTCTCTCTCTCTCTCTCTCTCTCTCTCTCTCTCTCTCTCTCTCTCTCTCTCTCTCTCTCTCTTTCTCCCTCCCTCCCTCCCTCCCTTCCTCCCTCCCTCTCTCTCTCTCTCTCTCTCTCTCTCTCTCTCTCTTTCTTTTTTTTTTTTTCGGTTTTTTGAGACAGAGTTTCTCTGTGTAACAGTCCTGGCTATCCCGGAACTCTATTTGTAGACTAGGCCTGCCTCTGACTCCCAAGTGCTGGGATTAAAGGCTTGTGCCACCACTGCCTGGCCGTATTACCAGTTTCTATGGAAGGAATTTTAAAAGTTGTAATGGCTTTAGTTCCTGTAATCTGGACATAAAATTCTGCAGATGTGAGAAGCACTATAAGATGGTTCCTACAGGTGAGCTACAATGTCAGCAGCCAGCAGAGACTCTTTACTCTCTGCAAGGGGTTAATTAGTGGTGCTATTTGCAACAACTGCATGGACAGAAAGCAGTACGGAAAGAATGCATCCCTTCCTCTTGCTTTTACATGTTATTCAGGCTTACTAGTAAACAGACCTTGTAGGGTAAACACCATGTGCTTGGAAATTAATTGAAATTTATTGTGGTATTGCATTATAGCTCATAAATACAATGCTTGTCAAATATAGTGAGGCCTTTTGGAAATGATTTTCCTTGCATAAGTTTATAATCATAAAAATCCAGGGATTTTCATATTTCTTATGTAGTTCTGCTAAAAAATGTTAAAATTCAATTTATAATTTTAGTCTATAACAGAAAAGTATAATATGAAGCTGTATATTTTTTTTCCTCTTTGGATTAGGTAACTGACAGACTTATGAAGAAACTAATTAGCATAACATTGTTATTATTGTTAATGCCTTCGTTCAATCTTTCAATACCTTTCTACCTGACTTTAATCACATTTTAAAAATAAAACCCACAACCTGCTACTGTTTTATAACAATTCATGATTACCATCTAACTTGACAAAACTGTTATGTTCAAGGTAGTTTTTATAAAAACCCATGTGCGCCAGGTCTTTTAAAGTAAAGCAACTATACCCAGGATTATCGCAAAATAATTCATGTAAGAAAAATGATTAAAAAAAATCCCTAGCATTCAAGATGGTTCAAAACTCATGTGTATGGCATAATTTTGGAGAAAATTGATCCATCCAAGCTAACTTTAATGGAAACTATTCCCAGAATGCTCTAATAATTGTAAATAGAAATTCTTAACTAATCTTAAATATTCTTTCCCAGGCTTTACGAAGCATGCAGATTCCTGGCTGTGTCCACCAAAGTGAACATATGGAGCTCGAGGGTAGGAACTGCAATTCACTCCCCCAGATGATTGTGATTGACACTAAATTCTCTGAACTAATGATGTCAATACAGTCTGATGGCTTTTGTTCTAAATTTCACTTAAAATGCAATGGACCCTGTGGAGGTCAATGTGGTCTTTGCAGTTATTTCCATAGCAACAGGAACTGGTTATCTGAAGGATGGATAAAAGAAGAGTCGTGTGGAAAAACCTACAAAGGCTCAAAGCAGCAACAAACTACTTACTTGGTAATTTTGAATGGGGATAGCTCTATGTTTTACCAGAAAAACATGTAGAGATTATCAGTTGAATATCATGAAGTTTCTGTCTTAAAAGATACGCAATTTCTTCTTTGAGTATCAATATAAAGAGACCATTGAATATCAGATGCTAAATATATAATCTCTCTCTCTCTCTCTCTCTCTCTCTCTTTTAGAGTTGGTGGCTCTATTTTTAGTCTGAGTCAATTCATTAAAAAAAAAAGCAACCATTTATTGGGTCCAATTACATCCATTAGCTAGTGCTTAGATTACTGAATCTTAATTCTTCTTGACTATTAGAACCAATTGAGCACCTCAAATCATTATAATTGCCTTGGCCTAACTTCAGACTAATTAAAATAGAATGTCTGGAAAGAGGACTCAGAGCTCCTACTGTATACATCCTCATATCTTACCTATTCAGGCCCTTCTCTTGAGTATAGTGAATTTGCCATTCATTTTTTAACATGTATGCAGGGAAAACTGGATAGAGTTGTATGTCTACATTCATAATCCTGTTTTCTAAATCTGGGTTTGTTTTAAGGTGCTAAATTTATTTTCTTACTGTTCATGTGACCAGAGAGAGATTTAATTTTTCTATAGAATGCAATATTTGTTGACCAGTATTTATTATCAAGATTTTATAAGTGGTTTTATTTTTTATGCCATGATATGACTTCATTTAATTCTCATGGTATATATAGTAAATCATCATTTTTATTCTATAAATAAGGAAATTGAAGCTTAGAGAAGTTGAAACTTGACTCCAAATGATGAGTAATTGTCAAATGGTTTATAAACCACACACTGTAAAGTGTCTTCCACATCATCATAGGGATTGACATCAGTGATATTGTGGTAATATCACATATCATTGATATTACCATACCTGTGTTCCCTAGAGAGTCATGTGGATGATACTGGTCTTGCCAGGTGCTTTATAGAAAGAGCACTATGACCTAAGAGCTTGAGAGATACTGAATAGGTTGGAAATTCTCCATCCATGACAACATATTAAATATACTAAAATCCCTTCAGGTAAGAGAATGTAGAGTGTGGTTCCCTTGAGTTATTTAATCATGAAAACTTCATTGAGGAAGCACTTTCCAGTGGCACCTATTTTGAAAAATGCTTCAGAGCAACCTTGTATTCTAGAAATGATTTCCTGGTGGTAGATACTAGAAAACTGAAGCTAGGAGATGCTTAGTATGTCATCTACAGTGATTCTACACAAAGCTGTGCTTGAATTCAAGTTTGGCTTTTTTATAAAATTCTCTTTTAATTTTAATGTCATAACTCAAGGTTCAGGACTCTAATAGCTGTTATTTCTGATAATAAAGCTGGATTAAAATTGCTGAAAGGTTTAAATGTAATGTTGTATGGGCAAGCATTTTAAAAACATAAAATACTGTGTAAATATTAGAATTAGATAGTATACAATCTAAAACAATACCAAAATACCATTTATTTATTCATTTATTGAGACTGGGTCTCATGTAGTCTAGGCATTCCCTTGAACTCAGTATGTAGTAAAGGATGATCTTGAATTTCGAATCATCCTGCCTCCATTTCTTGAGTGCTGAGACTACAGATTTGTGCCACCACACATGGTTTTATGCATAATTGGGACTGGGAAATACCACACAGGGCTTCATGCATGCTAGACAAGCATTATGTCAATCAAGCTATATTCCAAACTCTCCTAAGGTTAACTTTTGAAAGAAATTACTTCTTTATTCACCTCTGAATCAAACTTTTAAAGGATAGCCTGTGCGGAAAAGTGAGTTTTGCTGGTTATTGCCAGTCTGACTTTTCCATATCATCAAGGACTCAAAAATTTTTGTAGCCACTTTAGTATATTTAAATAGTTCTTAGGAAATAAACTTAAGTAGTTTGTAGATTGTGTATGCTGAATCAATGTCATGAAACTAAGAATCATGGAGCCTTTATCACGCCTGATATTTAATTCTCTTGATTCTGAAAATATAAGTTCGATCAGTGACACATAGTAGACTTTTTCTACTTTAATAACAGTAAATAAATAGTAGATATTTTCATAAGAGCTCATTTATTTAAAGAACAAGGCTGAGAAACAATCATTGCAGGAGTCAAATTTTTTGCTCATGCTTTACTGAGGAAGTATAAGGTTGGTTAGAAAGAATTGTGACTAAAATCCTGGAACCCATTTAAAGCTAAGCGAGGTCATGCAACGTGACTGCCCAGATGCCAAACAACGCCTTCTCTGGAACATATTCCTGGGGATCACTTGATATGACAAGAGATAATCTCTTGGTGGAGAACAAAGACCAACTGATTCCATATTGAGAGGAGATGAAAGGGCTGTTCATCTCCCCTACTCCCTGCAAAGGGGGAAAGAACTCAGCGCAAACAGCAGACATTCCCTGTCACACCAAATTAAGCATGCCATTGGCTTCTATGTCACCAAGCTGAGCTAGTGCAGGGATTATTCCCAGCACTTTGAATGCAGGTAGAAAATAAATCTGCAGAGATCTGTAACTAATGCATATGGAAATTCTCTCTGGTATTTATTTTCTCCACCTTGCCCTTCTTGACAGCACACTTGGAATGTATTAATAATGGTGATGGGTCCAGGGAAATGAATGTGAATTTGGCAAGGCTCAGAGAAGATGGCTTCAAGAAGAGCTACTCTATCTTGGGTGAGTGGGAAGGGAATTCAATAATGTGTGAGAAGATGTTTATCGTTGCAAAGACTGAGTTTGGGTGAGCAGCAAACAGAAGATGCCATGAATTAGTTCATAGTTTAGGACTCTGCTTGGCTCTTCAAGGAAATATATACATATATAGCTTGAAAGCAAATCAGGTTCTTAACAGTTCTGCACCTACAAATGACTGCTAACTGCTGTTTGAAAGCCTGATGTTGTTGAGTTTCTATTCAGAAATCATTTTTCACTGTGCCTCCCATCCCTGAGAGAGGCTCATATTAGGTAATCCGTAATCCCCCTTTACATTCAAGTTCAACCACTATTCTTTCAGAGATGGTTTCTGAATTTTTAAGGGCCAGGACATGAGATTTTGGGTAAATAATGCATTTGAAAGCTTGGGACTAATTTAATTAAAAATGAACAGTGTTATGGAGTTACTTGTATACTTATTGAGAACACATGGCTAAAGGAAATTTGGAATATATATGTCTAGAGAACACATGAGACAGAGGGAAGGAGGGGAGAAGGTTTGAAAAGATGAAAAGAAGTGTACAGAACTAGCATTTTCCCATGCTTTGCCCTGTTGTGTCTCAATTTTTGTTTATGAAGAAAGGGTCATTTATTTTTAATTAATAAAGAAAGCACAGAGATAACAGTTTTGGACAGAATAGTTTCCTGTGTATATATGCATCTTGGAGTCTATATTCCCCTAAAATCCTGCATCAGTACATAGTGCACATTTGTTCCAGAGGCCCGAGTGGAGTGCCTGGAGTGGTATATATACATTTTGTTAATATAAAGGGAAAGGTCATGACAGCTACTTCTACCTAGTAGATGCTATCACAAACAACACTCATTACAAACAATGCTACTGGCAACACCTTTTGAAAAACTCAATTATACAGTATGGACTGAGGACTGTGTCCGAATCCCTTTTTCCTCTCGTAATAATTTGCCACATTCTACGTCTGTAGATAAAGTAGTCCCGGAAGTGGAGTTGGTCGGATGGGTTTGTTTACACTGTAGTCCATAAAAGAAACAAAAAGCCTTGCATGCAAAAGAAATGGAAAAAATAAAGAAAGTGAATAAATAAAAAGCAAGAATGAATGTTTAAATGAAAAATTAAATAAAATGAAGCCAGCAGTTATGAAGCAGCACATTAAAGCATAATATATACAAGCTTTTATTTTTCAAATTAGTAGCATAAAACAAGACACTTCAAGAGCAAATTGAAAGTTAAAGCAGATCAGTCTATTCTCAAGACAGTTTTCTAGAATGAGGTCCAGGAAAGGTGTGCTCCATATTCTCACAATTGCTTTTTAATTCTGGGGAGGGTTTCCATAAAGAAAGAAGGTTATAATGAATCATGCCCAGTCCTGGGCACCCAAAATAATAGTTTGCACATAAAGAAGTAGTTCTGGTATCCGGTTACTAATTAAAACCAGCCATACAATTTCCAAGACTCTGTGCAAAATGAACATGTGAAACCCTATCTTGAAAATTATTAAGGGTTTCATAATATTGGTAGTAGAACATTAAACTGGCTGTTTTGCTAATAGCTCTTAGCTTTGAGATTCTAATGGTATCTTTAAATTAACCTAGCGGATTAATATACTACAATGCCCTGGGGCTCTCTATTTTATTTATTTTAGTAAGGAATTATCTTAAATCACAGTCATTTGTGAGTTTTTTTCCCCCAAAGCATCTAAGTTCCAGGTGTGAATGCCTTTACAAATAAAATAGGTTAAAAATGGCTTGACTATTGAAATTGCCCATCATCCTAGATGCAATTTTGAAAAATAACATCTGAAATATATTTTATTGTCATTTTGTGTTGTTTTTCATATTTATAGGAAAATTGTATGAATTATCATCTCACACATTATATCTTGATCTAAGTAAATGCCCAATTTAAAAATATTGCTTAGGTTTTTTATAGAAATTATTTTACAAGAGTACATGTGCTCAGAATGTATACTGAAGGGCTGGTAATATTTCTCACAAGTGTCTTCTGTAATTTTGGAATTATGCCCCTCTTGCTCTTTCTATAGTTTCCATCTTAAGAGCAAATAACTGTTGGAGAAATTAACGGAGTTTTGAATTTCTGCACCGTCATTCCAAATTGTGCTAATTAGATTTAGTGCGCAAGACTTTTCCTTCTTCTCATTAATAAATGATAGAGCTGCAGTGCCAGCAGCACCTGGCAGGGATTCAGTGCTCTTTGCTCTAACTCAGAAATGGCTCTTCTGGGCATCTAATTCAATAGGCTGTTACCAAAAGGGAAAGTATCCTTAAAATCCTCAAATTTAAGACAGCACGTTCAAAGGCAAAACTACCCAGTCTTAGGAAGAGATGACTCACCTGCTCAATATCATTGTTCTTCCGTGATTTGTATATAAATTCTCCAATGGCTACAAACACAGAAAGGACAAGTCCTGCAGCCAGAACAATGAAGATGCCCCCAATGTTCTCCACTCCCAGGGCGCTGGCTTCTTTGCTGTCTTCCTCAGGGCAGCCATTCCCCCGCCACCACTTCTCTTTCATCATGTGGAGCTTCCCTTCCTCTTGCAGTTGAAGAATGGCAATTGTGATTTTATCCCGGTAAGGAGAGCCTGAAAATTGGGGGTGATTTGGATGGTGGTCACCAAAGGGATAAGGAAATATCAAGACATTACACTATCCTAGTGATAGATGCTCCAGAGTTGAGAAACCTTGATGCACAAATCTGTCAGCCAAAGTTGGGAATTTCTGATCTTATATCTTGATGGCTCTAACTAGTTAGAAGAGGGAGAGGTGATATGTTGAGGTTCACTCTGGCCCCAGGGTATTCCTGATTCTAAATAAAGAAACATTAAATAGGAATTCTATGACATTTCTGCTTCTGCTGAGTTCTTCACCAAATCTTTTCATATCTCAAGGGATTTGTTGTTTCGATTCTACCTTTTCTGGCCTCTTGGTGCCCTCTTAATTGCGGCTGAGTTTGGCCATTCTTCCTTCTATTTCTCTGTCTTCATTAGAGCTCAGCTATGGCCACATTTCTGGCTAAGGGGAGCTAAAGTGATGGATGACATTTCTAGTCTTGTGTCATAAATCTTCCCAGCATGCTCTGCTTGCTCTCTTTCCCCAAATACACTGCAGTAAGGAAACGTTTTCAAGTCACCAGTGATGGAGGAGCCACAAAGTAGAAGAAATTTGGGCTCTAGGGTCACTGCATGGAGCAGATCCTTCCTTTTGACCAGACTGAGCTATGGCACTCAAGGAATGTTAACCGTGGAAGACATTAAAAAATTCAGATGGTGTTTACAGTGGTTCATCCATACCAATTAGGATAAAATATATTCTGAATAATTCTGAGATGCTATAATATTCTATGTCAAGAATTTGGTAATATTTGTGGTCTGTCTTTTGGTAATTCCATTGAAACTTTAATTATGAAGGGTTGGAAAGTGCCAAAGTGTATACATTTGGACATAGTATTTTAATTCATAACTCCTGTGTTAATCAGTGCAAAAGAGATAAAACAAAATTTCTTTACTGGTTTATTTCCTTGGATGGCAACATTTTTGATAGTATTTTTTTCTCCTTGGTAGTAGGAAGCTCCCTTTGCTTACAAAATTTAAAGCCATTGCTGGCAGAGATAATTTAAAAAGTCAGGTATCTTAAAAACAAGGAAAAATCTTAAGAATAATAAAGTCAAGGCTGTTTGTTAAATAGATTTAAATAAACTTAAAATCTGAAGTTATGATTAAGAACCAAGAATCCAAGTCAGTGTTCCTCATTTCTTACATCTCAGCACTATTTCTGTGAAAGTGCTCCTGGCTGCTCTCCCATCCCCACAGATGACTTATGTCTTATGTCACAGCTTAAGTTCAATAAGCTCAGGCTCAATATTTTGTCATTTGTCATTTATTTCCTCATAGATTTAAAAAAAAATAATTGTCAACACTCAAAATCTACTTTAAAAGAGGACTGCAATGCTTTAGAGGGAGATTATAGCTTGTCAATTCAGAGTATGGATTTTGGGGTGAGAAAATGGATTTTGAAAACCAAATAAGAGATATCAGGTATTTGCCTAAACTTTCTCAGAACAACGGGTAGAGGCAAAATTAGCAGCATGAATATCCTTAGAGTGCACAAGCAAATGAGAGAACCTGGAGTACTTCGCTTTAAGGTACATGGAAGTGCTTTGATGAGCATGAGCACAATACTCCTGGCCATGGCTGCACGGTAGTCATAGTGATCTACGCAGTGGGTACGCAATAAATGCTGCCACTCTCTTCCTGCCTTCAGGCTACACAAGATCTAACACATGACAGACAGATGGAGATCCAATCTCTGCTTAATGTTGGTCTCTAAGGAAGGTAATTTCCAGGCTTCCAGTAACCTGTTTAAATCTTAACTGCCCTCATTCTCTTGAAGTTTTATTTTAAATCCCTCAGGAGGCACATTTCTAGAGCTTCTGTCCTGAGAGTCTCTAGGCAGCAGTTTTCAATTTTAGCTTGTGACTGAGCCAACTTTGCCAATCTTCTATTATGGGAGAGACTTCAAAGCCTCTGGGGACTCAGGGCAAGACTAGTCATGGCGGGGACCTTTTCACATCTCCATATCTTTTTAGCTTCGATCTTTGTTACTGCTTAAGTGGCCTAGTTGACATCAGAACTAACTTCTTGCAAATCATTTGGAAAAAAAAATGTATGTGTACACATGGATCTTCCTGAATAGCAACTGATCTTCCTTCAAGAATAAATTCATCATAAAAGAAACATCTCTCAAATGTTTCCAGCAGCTGTATTCCCCATGGATGAGTTCACTCTGAAGCCCACCATCTGTTCCAATTATTCCCTCATTGTTTTTGCTTTAAAAGCATGACAGGTTTATCACCACTATGAAAAATTTCTGGAGTATATTTCTTTTCATCTAGGAAGGGGAGATGGAGGCTCTTTAACACTAGCATTTGCTACAGGTAAAGTTGGCAAGAGAGAGCCTGAATGAATCTGTTTAGGTCTCTCCGTGTAATAGATATCATTATATGCAAATGGAGACAGACTCATCACAGAGTCAGCCACTCACAGGAGGGCAGACAGCAATCCACAAAGTGCCGTATTCACTCAGCAGAGTTGCAGGAAGGGTCAGCTCCCACAATTCCTGCCTCACACCACCACCACACTGTCAGAAAGTTTAGAATGCAAGTATTCCATTCTTTTTTAAATTTTATTTTCAGAGTTAAGGATCAAACCCAGGGCCTTGCACTTGCTGGGCAAGCACTCTACCACTGAGCTGAATCCTCAACCTCTAAATATTCTTTGAAAGGAATATCTTTCAAAATTCTCATGTTCACATGCAGCTGCTCTCAGAGTGATACACATTCTCTTTTTCTGCCATTTCTACCACACAGAAAATTTGGTGTCAAAGAGGGGTGCTGAAAGGATAGGGTAGGGGTTGTAAGATAGAAGATGGGATGAGAAAGATCCATGTAAGAATCTAGTTTAAAGATGGCTGAATTAAGAAAGAAGACACAGCACATACAATCAATCCTGGGGTCCCAATTCTGCAAAGATTAAGGCAAAGGCATCCTTTACTGGTATTTTTTTCCTGACTTATGTTTCATTACTAAACCAGCTGTGGGGAAACATAAAGAGCATTTGCTCATCTTTTTTTCATGCATATTATCTAAAATGAGATGGCCAAGCTGTGCTAGGCTATCATTTTGAAGGCCCCGAAGATCCATTATGTCCATTTAGTTATTGTCTAACAATCTTCATAAGCCCCCTGAAAACATGTTGAATAAATAAATGGTGTAAGAGATTCCCACTTGGAGAACTACCAGGAACACTGGTATTTCCATCAGGAAATGTCATTGGAATTAGATGGGCACCCAGTTTTAGCTCTCTGCCTGCTCCTTTCCCCATGACACTAACTAGCTGACTTCTTTAAGTCTGATCAAAAGCTTCACTTTTGATCTTTTGCATCACTGGGATGCTCTCATTGGTTAAGCTCTGTGTCTTTGGGATACAATTTTTTTCCTCCTTGTTTCTGTGTCACACAACTTTGAGATTCTTGAAAGTGTGTTCCTAATTGCTTATTTATTTTAATTGTTTGTCTGTCATCTTGTCTATGGGTCCAGCTTTCATCTTGTGTTTGTGATGTGATATTTATGCTGTGTATGTTACTGTGTGCCACCTTTAGTACATGTTACATGACAAGTTCCTCCAAAAGAGTTTAATTCAAACTAGTCTAAAAATTAGTAAACACATATGTAAACTTAAAGTTTAGCTAAGTACATTAGATTTAAAAGAAGAAATTAGTCATTTTAAAATTGACAAGAAATTTTGAACATGTTTTCAAGACTGATAATACACTGGTTTTTTATATTATTATTATTATGATGATGATGATGAAATAATGTTTACATTTTTTCATTTCAAATATTGCTTCCTGAATTTTCATTAAAATATTGTTACTGATCTCTTACTTATAATATTTAAGAAAATCGACTTAAATATTCTTTATATTCTATCAAGATAATTATTTATTTTCTGCTAAATTTTTCACTACTTAAGAAACTGACTCTTGAGCAAGATAGCACAGACTCAGGGCACCAAGAGGAAAGTCTGTTATTACTACGATGGTGATGTTGGAAACTACTATTATGGACAAGGCCACCTGATGAAGCCTCACTGAATCCGCATGACTCACAACTTGCTGCTCAACTATGGTCTCTACTAAAAAATGGAAATCTATCATTTTCACAAAGCTAATGTTGAGGAGATGACCAAGTACCACAGTGATGACTACATTAAGTTCTTGAGTTCCATTCGCCCAGATAACATGTCTGAGTACAGCAAGCAGATGCAGAGATTCAATGTTGGTGAGGACTATCCAGTGTTTGATGGCTTGTTGGAGTTCTGTCAGCTGTCTACTGGTGGCTTTGTGGCAAGTGTTATGAAACTAAATAAACAGCAGACGGACATCGCTGTGAACTGGGCTGGCGGTCTGCATCATACAAAGAAGTCTGAAGCATCTGGTTTCTGTTACGTCAATGATATCGTCTTGGCCATCCTGGAAATGCTAAAGTATCACCAGAGGGTGATATATATTGACATTGATATTCACCATGGCGATGGTGTGGAAGAGGCCTTCTATACCATGGACCAGGTCATGACTGTGTCCTTTCATAAATAGAGTACTTCCCCAGGAACTGGGGACCCATGGGATATTGGGGCTGGCAAAGGCAAGTACTATGCTGTTAACTACCCCCTCTGAGATAGGATTGATGATGAGTCCTATGAAGCCATTTTCAAGCCAGTCATGTCCAAAGTAATGGAGATGTTCCAGCTTAGTGCAGTGGTCTTACAGTGTGGCTCAGATTCTCTATCTGGAGATTGGTTAGGTTGCTTCAATCTGACCATCAAAGGGCATGCCAAGTGTGTGGAGTTTGTTAAGAGTTTCAACTTGCCTATGCTAATGCTGGGAGGAGGTGGATATACCATCCGTAATGTTGCTCCGTGTTGGACTTATGAAACAGTCATGGCCCTGGACACAGAGATCCCTAATGAGCTACCATACAATGACTACTTTGAATACTTTGGACCGAACTTCAAGCTTCACATCA